GTTGGGCAATCCTACTTCCGTAGTGATACTGCCTCGGAAACCCAAGGAGGGGTCTCTATGAGTCGGGGCCGACTCGACGGCAAACAACGACGACGAGCTATTACAGTAAGTTAGAAATTCTCTGGAAATCTGAATGTGCTTCTGAAACCTGAAAAAGTTTCATTTGGTCAGCTCTCAGGCCCTTCCTTTGCATTCTGACTTTCAAAAGTAGCATGGACTCTAAAGTAATTAAAGCTGATGATGTATGAATTTACAATTTAGATCTTTGCTCATGTGTGTTGTTCAACTGCTTTTTTCTTAGGTATGATGAAATGAGTATCCTTTTCACAGTTTTGGTTACTGAAGCTACTTTGGAGAATGGATTAATACATCTGAGAAGTAGAGACACCACAATGAAGGAAATGATGCATATATCCAAAGTCAAAGACTTTTTAATCAAGTATATATCATCAGCTAACAATGTATAGATTTTAATATTGGTATAATAAATATATTTCTTCCCTAATTTGGTTGTCTTATGTTAGCCTAGTTTTTATAAGCCTCTTTGCACTTAAGAAATGGGCATTTTTGGTTCTTTCTCTGATTTTATTTTATTATATTTCTTGTTGTGTTCTATTGTATCAGGAATATGTTGGGCTACAAAAATCAAAATTCTATACTGGATTAATAATCAGGTTTTTTTTAACATTGTTTTGTGATTTGAGTGAAAATTTACAGAGCACATTAGATTCCTCTTCAACAAATTGCACACATTTTGTTTCATGACATTAGTAGCAATCCCCTCAATGTAACAGCACTATTCCCACTTCCTTCCTGAGTTCCTTGTGTCCATTCATCCTTTCCTGCCTTCTGAACTTTGTTTTTGAGCAATTACTGCCCTTTTTGTCTGTATGGTTCATTGTTCTGAGAAGTGCATTCCTTGTGTATGTTATTGTTCACTTTATAGGCCTGTCTGTTGTTTGGCTGCAAGGTTCAGTTCCAGATTTGAAGGGTGTCCAAGGGCCATAGTCTCAGGGAGTGGGAAGGTTCTTATCTAACAAGAAATCTAAGGGGTAGACCTTCTAGAGCTGGTGTAAGCTGTTTATAGTTAGGGACCTAGGCTCACTCTTTCTGCTCCACCATCTTTAGTAGTTGAGTTGGCTAGTATCTTTATACTTATTGCCTTGTGGTCACAAGGCAGCTACTGTAGCTCGAGCCTTCATCCACAACCTTGAGGGCTTTATGGTTTTATAAAAAACCATTCGTGTTTTTTATAAATCCTCATCCCAGCTGCCCTGGTGGTGTTCTGCAGATAACCACTGGTTTCCATTTTTCTGTTGGATTATTGGTCTTTTTCTTAATGATTTGTAGATGCTCATTGTATACCATATGACTTAGTGCTTTGTCTGAGGCACGAATTGAAAATATTTTCCCCTAGTTGTTCATTTGATTAAATTTATGGATTTAAATACATATTTTAAAAAATGTTTCATCTAGTCAAATTTATATCTTTTGGACTATGAATTATACCTAAAAAAGCCTTCCCCAACTCAAGATTATTTTTAAATTCCCTGTCTTCTTCTAGCACTTAATGTGACTTCATTTTTATGTATTTTAATATCTGATGTACTTGGATTAATTTTGTTGTAAAGAGATGATATCCAACTTACTGTTTTAATGTGATCCTTAGGTTTTTACAATATATTACATAATCTGTCTTTTCCCCACTGATTTGAAATGCCGTATTATCAGACACTGCATTCCCAAATGTAAGTTACATTTATGTCTGGACTTTCTATTCTGTTCCATTGTTCTATTTGTCTAGTCATGTGCTAGTACTACACTTCTTTAAATTATAGTGACATTATACTGTTTGAAACCTTATACACCCTCTTCTCTCTTTATTTGACTTGTTCCTTGGCACCAAGGTTATGGATATTTTTATCTTCCACCAGTTGGATGTGCATGCTTGGATTGGAGAGTAGAAGGGAGATGGTGGTTGTAGCCAATAAGCAAATGTCTGCAGTCGCTCTGTACTCCACTGTCTGGTCTCCAGATTATAAGAAAATCTACAGGTAGATTATTAAAATTGAAAAGAGTTCAGTGAGGTTGCTGGGTACCAGTCAACCAAAAATAATTGTTCTCCTCTCTGTCAGAAACATGAAATAAAAATATAACTTACCATAGCACCCAAATGTCAAGTATCTAGGAATAGTTCTGACAAAATCAGTGCAAGATGTTTATGCAGAAAATGGTAAAATATTGTAAAGAGAATTCAGGGGTTAAACAGATGATGAAGATACATCATGTATATTTTATTCATTGTGCAATGGCGTTCCAACTGTGTGGAATCATGAGAAATTATGGATAACATTGCAAAGAATGGAAACTCTAGAACACTTAATTGTGCTCATGTGTGTATATAGACCAAGAGGCAGTCGTTTGAACAAAACAAAGAGTGGTTTAAAATCAGGAAAGGTGTGTGTCCAGGTTGTATCCTTTCATCATACTTATTCAAGCTGTATATTGAGCAAATAATCCAAGAAGTTGCACTATACAGAGAAGAATGCGGCTTCAGGATTAGAGGGGACTCATGTACAACCAGTATGCAGATGACACAGCCTTGCTTGCTGATAGCAAAGAGGACTTGAAGCACTTAACTGATGAAGATCAAAGACTACAGCCTTCAGTGTGGATTACACCTCAACACAAAGAAGCAAAAATCCTCACACAATAAATAAAATGATACATGGAGAAAAGATTGAAGTTGTCAAGGATTTCATTTTACATAGATCCATAATAATACCCATGAAAGCAACAGTCAGGAAATCAAACGATGTATTGCATGGGGGCAAATCTGCAAATGACCTCTTTAAAGTGTGAAAAAGCAAAGATGTCACTTGGAGGACTAAAGTATGCCTGACCCAAGCTGTGGTATTTTTAATCGCCTTATATGCATGCGAAAGCTGGGCAATGAGTAAGGAAGACCAAAGATTCATGCCTTTGAATTACGGTGTTGGCAAAGAATATTGAATATACTCCGGACTTTGAGGAGAATGAACAAATCCGTACAGCTAGAATGCTCCTTAGAAGCAAGGACGGTGAGACTTTGTCTCATGTACTTTGGACATGTTATTAGGAGGACCTCATACTTGGGAAAGTAGAGGGTCGGCGAAAGAGGAAGACCCTCAAAAGATAGACCCAGTGGCTGCAACAGTGGGCTGGAACATAGCACCGATTGCGAGGATGGTGTAAGACTGGGCAGTGCTTCATTCCGTTCCTTTCGGTTTGCTGTGAGTGGGAACTAACTACACAGCACCTAACAACAACTATGTGTGTAGTTTGGAAGCCTAGATGTTGTAAAAATGTTGTTTCTCCCTGTCTGATCACAGTTGTTTTTATTTCAAGAACATCACCAACAAAACCCACTGCCATCAAGTTGACTCTGACTCATAAGGACCCTTTAGGACAGAGCAGAACTGCCCCATAGGGTTTCCAAGGCTGTAAATCTTTAGGAAGCAGTTGGGCTCATCTTTTTCCCGCAGAGCAGTTGATGCGTTTAAACCACCAACCTTTTGGTCAGCAGCTGAATGTTTAACTGCTGTGGCACCAGACCTCCTTTCCTCATCAAAAGGTAGCATTGAGTGAAAAATAAAGCTACAGAGTGGGAGAGTAATTACAAAAAATTAAGAAAAAGTCACACATCCCAGTAGAAAGGCAAGAGCCTCAGACAGACACTTAATAAAAGAGGCAATCAGATGGCTGGTAATTGTAGGAAAAAGTGCCCTACTTCATTAGTCATCAGGAAAGTGCAAATTAAAATCACAATGAGGTATACAGGTATCCCCAGATCTTTGAAAGTTTGATTTGTGCCACTTGGCTTTTATGACAGGCCTACATTAGTGCCTGTTTTCACTAACCCAAAGAAATCCGGAGAGGATTTTCACTGTAATGAAAAAGGCAAAAGTGAGACAAGGGTTCAGTGTTTGATTTGCAGCAAGACGGTAAAGGGGCAGCCCGCACCCAGAGCCGCAGTAGTGACAGCACCAGGCTCCTTGTCCAGGAACCACACTGTATGTGCACTCTTTCTGCTTTATATAGGTTGTGTATCCTATCCTATCATTGCTGTTTTACTTATGCTAGTGTGATCTTAGGAGCTCTGGTAGCATAGTGCCAAAGGCACTTGACTGCTAACCAGAAGGCTGGTGTTTCAAACCCACCAGCCACTCCTTGGAAGGAAGATGGGGCAATCTACTCCTGTAGTGATACTGCCTCAGCAACCCAAGGAAGGGTCGCTATGAGTCGGGGCCAACTCAGTGGCACACAACAACAGTATTAAGGAGTTCTGGTGGTGTAGTGCCTAAGGCATTTGACTGCTAACCAGAAGGTTGGTGGTTCAAACCCACCAGCCACTCCGTAGAAGGAAGACTGGGCAATCTTCTGTAAAGATTTACCGCTTCAGTAAAAAGCCAGAGGGGGTCACTATGAGTTAGAATCGACTCGATGGCAGTGAGGTTTTTTTTTTTTTTTTTTTTTTGGAGTGTTATCTCAGGTATTATGTATTATTTGGGATGATTTGGTAGGTTATTTTTGGGGTCTGGGAACACTCAAACTTTTTTCCCATATACATTACTGGTAATTTCCTCTTAGCTCTATGCCATTTTGGCTTACGGAAGTTTTCATAGGAATGCTTTACTTTCAGATAGCCAATAGTGGTCAGGGTGGGAACCTATATATCCATAAAAATGGTTAAAATTGAAATGACAGACAATGCCAAGTGTTGAAGGTATAGAGAAGTGGAGAATTTCTTGGGAGTGTAGAGTGCCAGGAGGTGAGATGCAGATGGAAACCTTGGAATGTCCACAGGCACAGCCTAGAAGTATGGGGAGAACTAGCATCTCTTGGGGGAACCCTCAAGGAGCTCTGGTGGCACTGTGGTTAAGCCACTGGGCTGCTAACCAAAAGCTTGGCAGTTTGAACCCATCAGGCGCTCTACGGTAGAAAGATGATGCAGACATTTGGGAATGCCTTGGAAACCCTGTGGGAGTTGCTATGAGTTGGAATCAACTCAATGACAGAGAGTTTTGGGTTGAGGCAACACTCAGAGCCCAGGTGGCACAGTGGTTAGACTGTTAGGCTGACAACCAAAAGGTTGGCTGTTTGAACCCAACTGCCACTCGATGGGAGAAAATGTGCCTATCTAAGAAACCCTATGGGACAGTTCTGCTCTGTCCTATATGGTCTCTATGAGTTGTAGTCCACTGGACAGCACACACTAATAGGCTTTTCCTCCAGTCTCTTCTTTGGGGTTGCCTCCCACATAAATTATTTGCACAAAAGGCCTTATCTCAAGCTCTGCTTTTCAGGACTAGCCCAGGAAGACCCTAGGAAGCTCCCTCTGGGAATCTGGAATTTTCCTGGACAAAGGGCAGCAAGGACTCCATTGCTGGTGGCAAGTGGGTGGTGATAACCTCTGTAGTATGCTGTGTTGTTATTGTTATTAGTTGCCATCAGGTTCGTACCCATACAACCCCATGCGTTACAGAGTAGAATCGTCTTGGGATTTCCTTGACTGTAATCTTGACGGAAGTAGCTAGCTAGCTAGCCAGGTGCCGCTGCAAATGATGTCGACTGCAAACTCCTTGCCCCAGCCAGGCTCCTGATTGAATGTGCTGTAACTTCACAGTTCCTGAGACTCGCCTGCAGCGGAGACAAAGGCAGTGGGAAGAGAAAACACTGTGTGATGCAATAGTTGTAGCAGTTGAAAGGCATGGGGCAGCGCTAATGACACAGACTGTGGAGTTAGTTCCTGTTAACTCCTTCAGAAGCTTTGCAAAAAGAAAATGACAGGCTACCGATTCAGGGCATGCTAGGAAACCCCCGAGGGCCTCCATGGCAGCATTTAAAGCTACCCTCATCTACAGCCAAAGGGCGGGCTGTCCTGAAAAATCAACTCGGGATTGGCTCAAAAGGTGCAACTGCAAAGAAGACAGAATGAGTAGATCTAGAAATTCCCTAATGCTGAACTCAGGGCAGCGAAAGTGAGGGAGTGGAACTCAGGATGTGGACGTTTGAGACCTTGAAAACCCCTATTCCACTGAGGCCTCAGTAGCAACCAGAGCAGCCTTTGCCCCTGCTCTTCCATCCTCCCTTGTTAGAAGACCCACCTGAAGCAGATGCTTCACTTCACACTGTTTTGCTTGTTTTCTTTAAGATCTGTCCCTGACTCCCCATGACCTCCAGATCAATAACTAGGGTCAGGACTCAGCAGAGACTGAGTGAAGAAGTACAGGCCCCGCTATGGGAAGCAAGCTCTTCATGACCCCAAGGGCTGCAGGTCTGGTAATAATACATGCTGCCAGGAACCAGGGGAGCACGTCTGGAAGTGGGTCCTGAGAGTGTTGGGTGGGAAGGTGAGGAATAGAAGATTGGATAGGGAATATAAGATTAGATAGGGAACGCAGAGTTTGTCCCCTATTCAGTCACGTCCTGGGATGACACTTGGAGCTGGTCCTGAATATGCTGCTAGGATGGCTCCTTGAAGCTTGGGCACAACTCTAACAAGTGAGGAAACTGAGGCCCAGGGAGTTTAGGTAACTTACCAGAGTCACCTCAGGTCTGACTGTGGAGCCCCTAGATTCTTAATCTCAGCAATATACTGATTTCCCCTGAACAAAAATAGCAATAGAGAAAGGGAGAATTTGTGCTCATAAATGCACAATGACAACAAAATCCTAGAATTAATGTGGCCCTGTGTGGACAGTATCCCTTCCCCCCTGAAGGGGGCGCTCTTGTTGGCAGTACGTCTGCTGTTCTTTACCTGGGTTTAACTCCCACTTCATCCACTTACCGAGCTGTGGGTGACCTTGTGAAGTGACTTAACCCATCTGAGTCTAAGCTTCCTATGAAATCAAATTAACGATACCAGCCTGGCAGAGTGTTACCACAGAGTTAGTGTCTCATAAGCAGTAGCTGTGATATTTCCAGTCAGAGGTTCAGGCAGTCCCTCCCACCCCCAAAGAAGAACAGAGCAGGAGAACTTTGGTCAAGTTGATAAAAGTTTGTCTAAAATCTGACTCTTGAATTGTGTTGCATGTGTAACTCCTATAAGAGATTCAAACTGGAAATTATTTGTTCCCCCTCCCCCAGCACCCAACCCTGGATGACTCTCTCCACAGAAGGCTGATGGGATATGCAGCCTTTGGCATGAGCTAAATCCTGACGACTGGGAAAGACCATGAAAATTGATATAAATATTTTTGCAGCCTTATAAATCTGAGAAACCAATGAAAACCAAACACTGCCGTTGAGTTGGATTCCACTCATAGCAACCCCCTCTTGGGTTTCTGAGGCGGTATCACTGTGGAAGTAGATTGTCCAGTCTTCCTTCTGAGGAGTGGCTGGTGAGTTTAAACTGCCAGCTTTCTGGTTAGCAATCAAATGCCTCACAGTGGCTGGTGAATGGGTCCTTGCTGAATAATAATCTTGCTATCTTTTCATGCCGGCTGCAAACACTGTTTTCTTCAGACATACTTTCAAGGTCACCTAAATTTTTTTAGTATTTAGACATGGGTTTTTGCTTTTGAACCCTCCAATGGACATGGGGGCAAGAAACCTGAAAGATGGTCATTGTGATGCCTCCAGAAGGCATTAATGAACAGCAGTATTCTTTTTAAAAATTTTGTAGGAATAAGGGTAATGGTGCATGCCTAAATATAGCAAAAACATTTCCAAAACATTACGAGTGGGGTCCCCCCTGACAAAACTACTAATGACAGGGTTGGATGTACCCAAATAGGCAAAAGGGTAGTGTTTAAACACAATAAATTGTGATTCATTTGAAGTAACAAGGAGCTCTGGTGGTATAGTCAGATCCAACTCATAGTGACCCCTCCTTGGGTTTCCGAAGCGGTATCACTACGGAAGTAACCTTCCTTCCGAGGAGTGGCTGGTGGGTTTGAACCGCCAGCCCTCTGGTTAGCAGTCAAGTGCCGTAAGCACTATGCCACCAGAGCTCCTGGTGCTAACCTGGCTGCTAACCAGAACGTCGGTGGTTCAAACCCACCAGTTATTCATGGGAGGAAGATGAGATACTCTACTTTCATAAAGATTTACAGCCTTGGAAAGCCAATCTATGAGTCAAATCAACTCAATGACAGTGAGTCTGGTTTTTGAGTTTGGTGAAATAACCAGGGTAGACATGTTTAAGTATCAGCAAGTTTTCTTTTTCTTCATGTAAATCATCTTCATAAAAAGTATCTTACCCTGAGATGTAGTTGGTTCCTTTCAGTTTCAGATGAGTTCAGAATATACGTAGTTAGTTTTATAATCATGACAGGCTTCTAAAACGTAAGAGGGGGTAATTCAGAAAATTTGGGATGTGTACACAGTATGTTAAAAAAAATCCTATTTGAAGTAGCTGGGTGGCCTGTCCAAATATTTATTGACTTTTCCTGGACTATATTAAATAATTTATTCTTGAAAATAGCAGTGACCCTGCATCCTCCACTCTGGATTTCTTTCTTCTTCTTCCTCTTTTTTTAATTTTATTGTGATTTGGGTGAAAGTTTACAGAGCAAATTCATCTTCCACACAACAGCTCACATACACTTTGTCTCATGACATTGACAGCAATTTACCACAATGCAACAGCTCCCCTCCCACTTATTCCCCATAGTTACCTCTTCCCTGTGTCCTTCCCTCCCATGCACTCTTGCCCCCACCCCCCAAGCTGTCTCCCTGTGCATACACAGCCCTTCTATTCTCCCATGATTGACTCTCCAAGGACTGTATCTACCTACTGTAAATGTTCAGCTCATATGCTTGTCTTTTGTGTGGCTGGAAGCCGCAGGAGTGGGTTCAATTCCAGACCTAAAGGGCAGCTAGGAGCCATATAGTCTTAGGGGTTTCACCAGGCTCTATCAGACCAGCAAACCTGGTCCCTTTTTTTTTTTTTTTTCCAAATGATTTTGAGTTTTGTTCCACATTGTTCTCCCTCTCCATCAAGCATCTCCTACATAGATCCCCTCACTCTGGATTTCTTATGCGACACTTCCCCTACTACATCCTTCCCTCCTCCCACCCACTCATCTTCTGATGATGTTTATTAGGAGCTGTGATTGGGTTTGGTGATTGGGTTACTGTTGGTTTCCTGGGGTGTGAATGTTACTCCCATACACCCCAATCTTGGGCTTCTAATGCCTGGGAGTAGTACCATGATCTCACAGGGACCCCTTGTCTCATTTCAACAGCTGTAGCTCACCATGCTCTCCTGATGCCACCTTCTGGAATATGGGGGTAGCGTAATTTAACTCCTGGGAGTGGCCGGTGCCTGGGAAAAAGACAAGGAGTAAGAGTTACTGAGCCAATAATCTGATAATCCTAATCTCTGACCAGATGAGGGAAGTGGTTTAGCCAACTGCCCTTATAACAGTGCATATCCACAGGACTTTGCAGGAAGCTCTTACCGTCTTGGGCTGTGAAATCATACTGCATTGGTTCCAAGCCTGGCACAGATTCTTTGTCTGTGAAATGGGAATGACACATATTGGGAGTTAGTGGTGTTTGCATTAGGCAGTGCACTGCGTCCAGAGTGTGGTTGGTGCTGAGGCAGTGTTGGCTGGGATTGTTGTTGTTTAGCAAGGCGCCGGCTTTCATTTACTGTGAAGCCTTGTGTGATGTCTGTTCTAAGAGGTAAACATAGAAGACCTTGGAATATGGTGTGGACTACCAGCCACTCCTCGGAAGGAAGGTTGGGCAAACCTACTTCCGTAGTGATACTGCCTCGGAAACCCAAGGAGGGGTCGCTATGAGTCAGGGCTGACTCGATGGCACATAACAACAACACAACAACACTG